AGAGAGCGGAAGAATACTTAACAAAAGCCGAGATAAAAGAACACAAATAGGACTATAATGGGCTGAACGAAGAAATGAATAAGCAAGGGAGACTTAATGAGGCGCCGGGGATGAATAGGAAGACAAACGGAGAAGGAAGAACAGAGCGAGGAGAGAAAGAAAGAAGGTAAACTTACAAGAGTCGGCAAGAGCTTTGTTGGAAAATGATGGCCTTGTTTGACCTCGTTACGAACAGGCGGAGGAAAGCGAGGTGTTCTGCATGATCCATTAACCTTGGTGTAGAACGTCGCTTCGTCTAACACGTGATTCCTGAGATAAAAGACGATAAAGATAACACTCACAGTTTATTGCAAAGAGAATCAGAAGGAAGAGGAGGGGAAAGAAAAAGAGAGAGAAAAAAGGGTAAAGAGAGGAAACTAGAAGCTAGAAAGGATTCCCTGCCAAAGAGAGAAAAGGTAATGAGAATGATATGTAATGGATGATGGAAAACAGAAAGAAAGAGTGAGAAAAGAAAGCGAGGAATATTTCCGGCTTGAACGAGGGACTTAGCGGGACACAGATCCATTTTCACAAAGACCTTCGGGAAGCTTCTGAACTTTCGAAATCAAAAGGACTTGCGCCTACATTGTCCGCGGTTCTGGGAAGTTTACAAGAGTCATGTCATCCTCCAGAAAGCGAGGACCAGGGCGACCTTGGGAAGGAAGGAAGACTTTTTTGTCTCCGCTGTCCTTTCGTCAACTTTTTTCCTTTTTTTCTCTCTCTTCTGGTGGGGGAAAGGGGGTATTATGCGTTGCGTTGAAGAGGAATTTATTTTGTCTTTGTATGTTGTATCGTTTTGTATTTTAGTTTTGCGTTATCTTGCAATTGCGTTGTTAAGTTTTGTACATTGTTATGATTACTATGCACGTTGCCCTTTTGCTTTTGTAATATTTTCTTACAATGCATGTGTTTTGGCTTTTATTATGATTATGATCTTGGAGCATTATAGATGTCTAAAGTGTACTTACTGCTTTTTACGTTTGTAATCTCTCGTATTCACTACATTTAAATGCAGTATACTTACATATATTCCTATTTAGAGACACGCATCTACGCGTTTGCATATATATCTATATCTATATCTATCTATCTATCTATCTCTCAGTCAATCTATCTTTGTTTGTTTTTTGTTTTTTTGTTTTTTATCTGGGAACGATCTTCATTATCTTTCAATTTCATACAACATGTAGTATCAAAACACCTAATAACAGGGAAAAGGGTTCCTTCAGTGCAGAATCAACCTTCCTGCACCGCTATTCAGTTCGTTAATTCCCGAGCAACAGGGGCGCTCGTGGTTTGTAGTCCCTGTTTACATAGTTCCTTCTCTCTTGTTGCTTGCATATATTCATTTCTTCCATTGTGGCTTAGAAGGACTCGGGCGCTGGATTCGGGAAGTTCAGCTTTTACCCGTGAATCAAGTACATGTGCGTCATATTCACTAAATTTATTGATAGTTATAGTTACCAGTTATCAAGCTACAGGAGGGGATTTCAATACTTTTTTTTTTATCTTGAACATTTACAAACACACACACACACACACACACACACACACACACACACACACACACACATATATATATATATATATATATATATATATATATATATATATATATATATACATATATACATATAGATAGATACACAGTCACACACACACACACATATATGTGTGTGTGTGTGTGTGTGTGTGTGTGTGTGTGTGTGTGTGTGTGTGTGTGTGTGTGTGTGTGTGTGTGTGTGATATATATATATATATATATATATATATATATATATATATATATATATATATATATATATATATATTTATATATATATATATATATATATATATATATATATATATATATATATATATATATATGTATATTCAGCTTTTCATCATAATTTAACGTGTGTGCGGGAGAGACTGTATATGAGCGCAGCCTTTGATCCGAAGATAACTCTGATATCACTTATTTCAATGATAAATCGGTCTACGGTGCGCTGCATTCTATAAACTGGAATCTGCGTAGATGTGTATCTATGTTTACTGTCATTTTCATTATCATGGCCAAGGCAGAGAGAGAATAGGCACACATGCCACCTATCATGAATAAATCAAGCGCTCAAGTTAAAATATTGGGATTAAAATGTAAAATAGAGACGGTCTAAAACCGGCTCATATAACAGGCAGTTATAAATTCAAGGAAAAGAATCACAGAATTCTCTCCTTTAAGCAAAATAATGAGTTGGTGGCCACTCAATTACACACATGAAATAAACTATGTCGCCAAGATCGTCGCTGGTTTCACAAACGCCTCATATCATAGCCTCAGAGAGACCATTAATTATTAGCATCTCATTTATGGCATTAATTATCACCAATGTTGGCCATTAGGGAAACAAACCCACAAGTTATGATGGATAGTAATCTCTATGTAAGAGGAGACTGGTATAAAATGAAACAATAATCATTCAGTATAAAACATTTTATTTCCTCGTGCTCTCGGCCAGAGGCAATTGACTAGGTAACATCGGATAAATAATGTCATTAAAAATCAAATAAATGCATCAACTGTAGAAAAGAAAAAAAGGAAAAAATATATATAACAGATTTTCAAATAAATCAACAACCGAAGTATATATATAATATACATATATAATGATGATGTGTAACTTAAAAGCTAGACTCACAGACACTGTCGATAACATTGATAAATGGCAAAAGCAGAAAATCAGTATATAATTAAGATTATGTAGAGCACAGTGACCTATACACACGCATGTATTTAGCACTCATACAGAACTGTCTTATTAACTCTGGAGTATAAGAGCAACGTGTCTAAAAATGACAGAATTGGATGACCGTTTCAGGAGATCGACTGTCGTTTCCGGTCGCTAAAAGGCCTTTAATTCTGAATTTTTGGATTTCTTCTTTCTTTGGAATTATTACTTTAGGAGAAATAGGGAACAGAAAAAGAGAGAAAGTATTGATTTTCTCTCTTTTTTTTTTTTTTTTACTTTCTTCGTCTTTTATCAACGAAAACTTAATTACGAAACGATAGTCTTTATCTCCTGTGTCTTTGTTTTTTTTTTATTTCTTGCTATCTTTATTCAGTAAAGATATACCTCCAGATACTCCAAAATCGGTGACCTGTTTATTATTATTATAATACAGCTTGGTATAGCGAAGTATAAAATTGATTAAGTTATGTCATTGGCACAGCCGTTACTTAATCTTAGTGATCACGTATGACTAAATAAAAAATCCCGAGGCTGTCGAGCCATTCCTTGCGGCTGACGCGACTCCCGGAGAGAGAGAGAAAGAGGCAAGGGCGGACGGGGGGGAGAAAGGAATACGGAGGATGGAGAAAGTTGGAAATGGGGAGGGTTGTACAGAAAGAAAAGTGTATATATGTACACATAAATACAGGCATAGACATACAGAGAGAGCAGTCGACGGAATGACAGACAGACAGACAGACAGACAGAGAGAGAGAGAGAGAGAGAGAGAGAGAGAGAGAGAGAGAGAGAGAGAGAGAGAGAGAGAGAGAGAGAGAGAGAGAGAGCCGGCCACCCCGCAGGGGGCATGTCCACCAGCCAGCCGGGACCACTGAAGCACATTATACCAGCTGCAAGCTCGACTAACTCTATCAAGCACCGGATCCAGGAAACATCAGCTTTCAGTAAGCCTGGGGAGGAGGGAGGGAAGGAAGGGAGATGTTGGTAAATATGAGAAAAAAAAAGAAAGAGACAAAACAAAAGGAATGAAAATCATGATATCACGAAATTACAATAATTTCATAGTGGAATGTATGGTCGTATTATTTTCCCCCCAGAAGAATACACATGTATATATATAAAAAAAAGCTTCTTTGCAACAAAAATGGAAGCCTTTTCGCAGACTTCTTTTGGATGCTGAACAATAACAACAAAAATGTCTTGAAAAAACAAAATCTTATACATAGTGTGAATGCCCCAGAAGCTTGTAAAATGGCTATAGAACAGTAAACAATATTTTGGAGGTTTAAATGATACATAGCACTGATGAATGACTACGCTTCAAATCGTAATCGCTATTCAAGAAATACTACCCAAGGCTTGGTACTTTGAGACGGAGATCACTTACTAGGAAAGACCTTCGTGGATTCGAGAAACTCCAGAGGTTTTCGCACTACTCGTCTGAAGTGTCTGACTGACGTAACGCGAGACGAAATGATACAAAATCGTCATCGTATTCTAATCAATACCGGTTTCACACATGTGTCTTAATTCCCTGACTGATTTGCCAAACGAAATTTCGGGGTGAGCGAGATCAATACATTTTACGCCATGAAACACACTGTCCACATGTAACCTGCCGTTCCTGGGTGACTTCAACACAAACCACTGAACACTAAAAATTCAATATTGTTTTCCTATTAAAACATTTCAAAAAGTTTTTTTTTTTTTTTGGATTTTTTGGATGCTGTACAAATAGTTCGACCGGTGTTGTAAGGTACAAAATACTTCTTCTTTTCTTCACCTTTTATATAATTAAATCTAACATTGGAAATGCTGACTATAAAGACCTCTTCACAACACACGTTTCTTACAGTAAACACGAATTTCAGATCTTTTCAGCTTTTCACAGTTTCAGGATTTGACACCTTGACAGAACAGGAAAAAAAGAGAGGCCAAGTTCTAAGAGAGTTCAGGAGAATTCAAGGGGAAATATAAGAATCAGAAAGACTGAAAACAGAAGAAAGAGGGAGTGAAAGAGAAGAGCGAAGTAGAGAAGGGCCGGGTGTGAGTAGGAGGACGAGACTCCTCCTCTGGACCTCCGCCCAACTCCTTCGGAATGCATCGCGTTGACTAGTTCCTATTGAGCCTGCAGAGACCCCTGTGGCCGCCGTTCGGGAGGCGCTCGGACGGCCACAAATCTGGCTCCTCCGACCCACGTGAACAGTAGGCGTGGGTCCGTCTTACCAAGGT